ATAAGAATCATATGATCATCTCGATAGATGCGGAAAAAGCATTCAACAAAGTACAGCATCCCTTTATGTTCAAAACTCTAGAAAAACTAGGGATAACAGGAACATACCTCAATATTGTAAAAGCAATCTATGCTAAGCCTCAGGCTAGCATCATTCTGAATGGAGAAAAAATGAAGGCATTCCCTCTAAAATCTGGAACAAGACAGGGATGCCCTCTCTCACCACTTCTGTTCAACATAGTTCTCGAAACACTGGCCAGAGCAATTAGACAGACGAAAGAAATTAAAGGCATAAAAATAGGAAAAGAAGAACTTAAATTATCACTATTTGCAGATGACATGATTCTATACCTAGCAGACCCAAAAGGGTCTACAAAGAAACTATTAGAGCTAATAAATGAATTCAGCAAAGTGGCAGGATATAAAATCAACACGCATAAATCAAAGGCATTCCTGTATATCAGCGACAAAGCCTCTGAAATGGAAATGAGGACAACCACTCCATTCACAATATCTTCAAAAAAAATAAAATACTTGGGAATCAACCTAACAAAAGAGGTGAAAGACTTATACAATGAAAACTACAGAACCCTAAAGAGAGAAATAGAAGAAGATCTTAGAAGATGGAAAAATATACCCTGTTCATGGATAGGCAGAACTAACATCATCAAAATGGCGATATTACCAAAAGTTCTCTATAGGTTTAATGCAATGCCAATCAAAATCCCAACGGCATTTCTTGTAGAAATAGAGAAAGCAATCATGAAATTCATATGGAAAAACAAAAGACCCAGAATAGCAAAAACAATGCTAAGCAGGAAGTGTGAATCAGGTGGTATAGCGATACCAGACTTCAAACTATACTACAGAGCAATAGTAACAAAAACAGCATGGTACTGGTACCAAAACAGGCGGGTGGACCAATGGTACAGAATAGAGGACACAGAAACCAATCCACAAAACTACAACTATCTTATATTTGATAAAGGGGCTAAAAGCATGCAATGGAGGAAGGATAGCATCTTCAACAAATGGTGCTGGGAAAACTGGAAATCCATATGCAACAAAATGAAACTGAATCCCTTTCTCTCGCCATGCACAAAAGTTAACTCAAAATGGATCAAGGAGCTTGATATCAAATCAGAGACACGCCGTCTGATAGAAGAAAAAGTTGGCTACGATCTACATACTGTGGGGTCGGGCTCCAAATTCCTCAATAGGACACCCATAGCACAAAAGTTAATAACTAGAATCAACAAATGGGACTTACTCAAACTAAAAAGTTTTTTCTCAGCAAAAGATACAATAAGAGAGGTAAATAGAGAGCCTACATCCTGGGAACAAATCTTTACTCCTCACACTTCAGATAGAGCCCTAATATCCAGAGTATACAAAGAACTCAAAAAATTAGACAATAAGAGAACAAACAACCCAATCAACAAATGGGCCAAGGACCTGAACAGGCACTTCTCAGAGGAGGACATACAATCAATCAATAAGTACATGAAAAAATGCTCACCATCACTAGCAGTCAGAGAAATGCAAATCAAAACCACCCTAAGATACCATCTCACTCCAGTTAGATTGGCAGCCATTATGAAGTCAAACAACAACAAGTGCTGGTGAGGATGTGGGGAAAAGGGTACACTTGTACATTGCTGGTGGGACTGCAAATTGGTGCAGCCAATTTGGAAAGCAGTATGGAGATTTCTTGGAAAGCTGGGAATGGAGCCACCATTTGACCCAGCTATTCCCCTTCTCGGTCTATTCCCTAAAGACCTAAAAAGAGCATGCTACAGGGACACTGCTACATCGATGTTCATAGCAGCACAATTCACAATAGCTAGACTGTGGAACCAACCTAGATGCCCTTCAATGGATGAATGGATAAAAAAAATGTGGCATTTATACACAATGGAGTATTACTCTGCATTAAAAAATGACAAAATCATAGAATTTACAGGGAAATGGATGGCATTAGAGCAGATTATGCTAAGTGAAGCTAGCCAATCCCTAAAAAACAAATGCCAAATGTCTTCTTTGATATAAGGAGAGTAACTAAGAACAGAGTAGGGTCGAAGAGCATGAGAAGAAGATTAACATTAAACAGGGATGAGAGGTGGGAGGGAAAGGGAGAGAGAAGGGAAAATGCATGGAAATGGAAGGAGACCCTCAGAGTTATACAAAAGTACATACAAGAGGAAGTGAGGGGAAGGGGAAAAATAATATAAGGGGGACAAACGAATGTCAGTAGAGGGAGCAGAGAGAGAAGAGGGGAGGGGAGGGGAGGGGAGGGGGGATAGTAGAGGATAGGAAAGGCAGCAGAATACAACAGACACTAGTATGGCAATATGTAAATCAATGGATGTGTAACTGATGTGATTCTGCAATCTGTATATGGGGTAAAAATGGGAGCTCATAACCCACTTGAATCAAATTGTGAAATATGATATATCAAGAACTATGTAATGTTTTGAACAGCCAACAATAAAAAATTAAAAAAAAAAAAAAAAAGAAGAAGCAACAATACATCTAAGAACCTGATTACACAATGCTTACTCTGGTTACATATCTATATTGCTTAGAATCCATAAGACTACTCATCCATGGCCAATGGTACAGTTCTTGAAAGTATTCTGCCACAAAGACATTCACCACTGAAGAGTCAATGTTTTAGGTGTAATTGCCATTAACAAGGATCATGGGGATTAGTTATCGGTCTCTTCTGCTCTTAAATAAAATTTAGGCCCAGTTTTCACAACTTTCCATAATATTATAGTTTAATGTTAAGGTTTTTCAATTCTTACAATAGTCAACTAAATTCTCTTATTGAAATTTTACACCGTTTATGAGATAGAATTTTTTAAAAAGGAAAAGCCCATAAAACTATGTTAAATCCAGGCTCTTTTTGTAAGGTTACTCATAAAACATTGCTTAAAAAACCATTGGGGGAAAAATCATTTATGCTTTACTATTTTTATTGTTTTCAAGTAAACTGAAAAGTTGCATTCTAAAGACTATTCAAAAATATTAAAGTATGCAAAAATTCCATTGATATTAGTGGGAGTATCAATTTTTAAGAACATACATTGCAAGTATTTCTACTTTCTTCATAAAATATATTATAAAATCTCATTAATTGGCATTAATTTGGGGGATCCCCTGTCTATTACTTTTAACTACATGTGTTATAGTATTAATTTATTACTTTTAACTACATATATTATAGTATTCCTCTATAGAATTAACTGATTGTAAAAACTTACTGACTTTAATTTTTCAACTAAACACTTACTAAAGACATTGTTTAAATGACTAGATAAGACATTTATAATTACTCTTTCAATTATTTAAAATAAATTGAATGAAATGAAATATCTAGCATTGCTTTGCAAAAATAAACAGGTATTATCACCACTTAATAAATAAGTATGAGAGAAGAGCTTGAAGGTGCCAAAAGATGGTTTGTTCTCTTAAACTTTATCATACATTCCCTTTGAAACATTGTTTATTCAATTCATTTAGTGAATAAAGATTTTCCTCAAAGATTATGAAATATTAAACTCCAAATGATTACAAAATCTTAAGAAAATGAGAATTAACTAATATATTTTATATTTGAATCATGTTTATATACATAGTTATCAATAAGAATAGCTATCATCTAACAACTCAAATAACTATCTTTTATTCTATCATGATAATGTCAACATGTGTTATCTACACTTAAATTAGCCAGTATTAACCAATCCACCACTAAGTCAAGCCATTAACCAAATAACTAACAAATTCCACACCCACATGGTGATAGGAAAATATTATAAAATACACTCAAAACCAAAAAGACTTAAGGTTCTCAAATGCCAAGTAAAAGAAAAAAAAAAACTGAAAAACTTATCTGAAAGAATGTATATACCAGATTGTTAAGGAGAATCATAATGCAATAAGGAGAATCTAACAGTACTGTAGAGCAAGGAACTAAAATTCATGAAGTGATCTATAGATTAGTACGGCTCAGTTAATAACAAAAATAGCAGTAACCACAATATTTCAAATATTTTCTATTTATTTCCACATTTAACAGTTTCTAATTCAGCCTTTTGAAGACATTTGAATCCATTTACCAATCAAACTAAAACTACTAAAATATCAACTATAAATTCATTTACTATAATAGTTCTATCTATGGAATAAATCCAGCTAACCCACAGAAAAAACAAGGATATAGCTCAGGTTTTTTCAACCACAACACTATTGACACTTTGGGCTGGATAACTTTTCATTGGAGATGTGATAAAGAGGCTGCTCTATGAATGGAGGCTATTTAACAGCCTTTAGACACCAATAGCATCAACTAGTTGTTACAATGAAAAATGTCTGAAGATACTGCCAAATCTCCCCTATTAGGCAAAACTTCCCCTTAGTGAGAATCATCAACAGAAAGAAGAGGGAGAGAGAAGGGGAGATAAGGAGGGAGAGAGGGAAATGAAAGAATTTTATTCCAGGTATTCTTAAACAATTAATAAAATAAACTTCAAGTTGGTGAATTACTAGCTAAAACTTCTTTTTAAAACTAAATGAATATTTTGATTTATGAAAACAATGAACATACCACCAATATGAGGTAAATAAAACTCTACTACTCTTAAGAACAAAAAACTAATAATAAACAGTTTTCTCCTTAATTCTTACTTCTATATTAAGAAATACACCCTGCTTTCCTGCTGTCTCCCAGGAATAAAAATAATTATAGTTCTTTCTTTACAGTTTTGAAGGCAAGAGATGAGCATTTTCCTCTGATTCTTAGCTGGTTTTGTAAGTGCTCTCCAGGTGACCTGAGATGACTGACAACTCTATTTTGCATTTAAAAACAAGTCTAATAGGACCTGCATATTAACAAGAGCAATAATTTGTTATAGCAAGTTAGAACTAAATTTTGTATTCACTTGTTGCCTAGACACTACTCTTTCAAGTCACTCACTGGATTACTCTTTGGCTTACCATAGATGTAACTGATCGTGCATCTTCTTCATAATTTACTATTGGAGGTGGCTCTTTTCCATCATTTTCTTGTACTTTTTGCTCTAGTAATTCTTTCTGTGCTGCAAACTTTGCCTCAGTGCATTTCAGCTGTTGGACCGATTGTTTCAGCTCTTCAAGTGTCTGTTTTTGGCTTAGCAGAAGCACAATACTAAAAAACAATAAATTAAATATAAATTACTACAATTTTTTATAGAAGTGAAGACATTAACAGAAAGTATATATGTAGATTATGTTTTTATTTCCTTTCATTTTCCTTTTTATAGGAGTCCTTCAGAATCATAAGAAAACGAAATTAAACATTTTTAGTTGTCACAATAGTTAGGAAAAGTTATCATCAACAAAATGGAAGAAAGTGTTTGGAAATAAAACCCAAATTCAAAATGCTTTTAAATATATTGTGATCTATGACATTCATTTTACTTTACACCTAAACCATCTTCTTCACAGAGTAAAAATACTTAGGTCCAGAAGTTTAGGGCCTAAAATGAATGAAAATGACAGAAGAATTTTAAATTTATTTCAAATTTCAATGGTAATATAGTAAGGGTCAGATCTGTGCCTAGGGTAAAAGAAATGAATTAATGTGACACTCAGCAGTGTGTATGTAATCAGGCAAGTAATAGGGAAAGGGATTATGGCAAGGAATGGGGTTGAATGTGACTGTGGAAAGAATTATAAACTAAGTCCACAAACCTATCCAATATTAACATAAAGACAGATCACCCCAACCCTCTTTTAGAGAACTTGCCCCTATAAAGGCTGCATTCAATGGGAGTTTCCAACTCATTTATACACGTATAAGCCATAGGAAAACAGGTAGGGATGGTGGAAAGGCCTCTGGAAACACCTCATCTGTATAGTATATATTAATATCATGAAAGAACTATGCCACACACACTGCCAAAAGTAAGTTATTAATACATAAGAGACAATAGATTATAAATTAGAAAAAGCTTCATAATTTGGCCATAAAGTCAGAAAATTATAAATTCTGAAACTTGAAACTTTCAAGAATCAAAATGTAAACAGAACAAGTGTTTTTAACCACAATGAACCCACAGAGAGATAGACATAAGTCATCTGCTGATTGATGTTCTGGGTGTAAGCTCATGACTACTATAAACAAAGCAACAGTCTTTATATTGCATTGAGTTTCAGGGGAAGATATACCAACAGAAATGTGGAGAACAGTGCTTGGGAAAATTGAACTAATGAGTGAGAATATTTGTAGGAGACCTAGAAATGTCCAGAAGACAGATTACTCTAAACAGTAGAATTCAATAAATGATAATTATCATTTACATCACCATCATTCTAAGTCCATGGCCTATTTTCTAAATCTGCACAGATTTCTTGGTAAATTCATGCTGGTTTGCTTATTAGTCAGTAATTGCTTTTTTACAATAAATTGGTATTTTGATGTCTTAGGGAATCCTTCCAGAGAAACATGACTTGTTAATATATTCACTTTAGAACAGAATGTTTTAAGGACCCAGGTCCTAGAAAAAATTACATCTACTCTATACTAAGAGCTTCTTAAGGGTTTCTTCTTTGCATCTTCCTAGCCAAAAGAGAAAGAAAGAAAGAAAGAGAGAGAGAGAAAAGAAAAGAAAAGAAAATAATAAGTAACAAAGTAACAATTAAATCATTTTTTAAATGTGGACAAAACAAACAGAGGGGTATACTTGAAAATAACAATATCGTACTGTTAGTAGTCCTTCATAAAGATGAATGGGAAATGTAAAAAATAAATTAAAAGAATGAAAATAAGCTTTCCAAAAGTGAAATATGAAATGACAAGGCATAATAATTACCAAAAAAGCAAATGTTAATGAGTACCCAAATATAATTTTAAAAAACATATATTTATGGGAGTAAACAGCATAAATTTGACTCTATCTTAAACCTGTGGTAAATTGAAAAACAGTCCCCTAAAGATGACCAGATGCTCATTTCCAAAACCAATAGAATAAGTTATCTCACACAGCAAAAAAAAATGTCTAGATATGATTAAGTTAAAAATTTTAATATGGGTATATTATCCTGGATTATCCCAAATGACCCCAAGTAACTTAACTATCCTCATAAAAGGAAGACAAGAGACAATTTCAGAAAGGACAGTTGACAACTGAAATGATAGGGGGAAAAACAACGTGCTGAGAGGCCAAACCAAGGGAAGGAAGATAACCTTTAGAAGCTGGAAAAAGTAAAGAAGACTCCACAAGAAATCATTCCTATAAATACATTGCTTTTAGTGCATAATGCTCATTCAGACCTAAAGAAATATAATTGAATAAATTTTTGTGTGTGTGTTTGTATATGTACAGGTATGTATATGCTTTTAAATTATCTTAAAAAGATAATATGGATATTATCACATATGTATAATACTTTTAAGTTATCTTAAAATGGGTAATGAGAATTAATATTGTCAAATGGCCAAACTACCAAAAAGCACTATACAGATTTAATGCAATTCTTATTAATGCAATTCTTATTTTCTAGGACCCAGGTCCTAGAAAAAATTACATCTATTTCTTCATAGAAATAGAAGAGCAGTCATGAAATTTATTTGGAAAAATAAGAGGCCCAGAGTAGCCAAATCAATCCACAGCAAGAAAATTAAAGCAGGAGGGATCACAATACGAAACCTTAAATTATACTACAGAACCACAGTAAAAAACAAAAAACAAAAACAAAAACAAAAAAACACTGCAAGATATTGTCACCAAAACACATATGTAGACCAACAGTTAGACACAAACACACACAAATACAGTTATCTCATACTAGACTACTAGACAAAGGTGCCAAAACATACATTGGAAAAAGATAGCCTCTTCAACAAATGGTGCTGGAAACACTAGAAATCAATGTGTAGCAAAATGAAACTAAAATCCCATCTCTCACTATGCACAAAAATCAACTCAATATGGATCAAGAACTTAGGCACTAGAACAGAGACCCTGCACCTAATAGAAGAAAAAGTAGGCCCAAAACTCTCAAATATATAATATATATAAAGATATATATAAGGATATATAAAGGATATATATATCCTTATATATATATATATAAAGGATATATATATATATATATATATATATATATATAAAGGATATATAAAGAACTCAAAAAGTTTAACACACACACACACACAAAAAAAAAAAAAAACCTAATCAATAAATAGGTTAAGAAACTAAACAGATACTTCACAGAAGAAGAAATACAATCAATCAACAATATATGAAAAAAAATATTCAATATCTCTAGCAATTAAAGAAATGCAAATTGAAACTATACTGAGATTCCATGTCACTCCTAGTCAAAATGGCAATTATCAGGAATACAAATAACAAATTGGTGAGGATGTGAGGAAAAAGATATACTCATACATTGTTGGTGAGACTACAAATTAGTGCAATCACTCTGGAAAGCAGTGTGGAGATTCCTCAGAAAACTTTGAATGGAACCACCACTTAACCCAGTTATCCCACTCCATGGTATATACACAAAGGACTTAAAATCATCATAATACAGTGTTGCAGCCACATCAATGTTCATAGCAGCTTAATTCACAATAGCTAAGCTATGGATCCAATCCATGTGGCCTTCAACAGATTAATGGATAAAGAAAATGTGATACATATACACAAAGGAATATTACTTAGCCCCCCCCCCAAAAAAAAAAGAATAAAATCATGGCATTTGCCAGTAAATGAATGGAACTGGAGACTATCATGCTAAGTGAAATAAGCCAACCTCCAAAAACCAAAGGCCAAATGTTCTCTCTGATATGCAGATGCTGACTCACAATAGGCAGTAGGGAGGGAGGAGTGGAGGTTCACCAGATTGGACAGCAGGGCATGTGGGGAAGGGAAAGGGGATGGGAATGGGAAAGTCAGTAGAATGAGTTGAACATAACTTTACTATGTTCATATATGAATACACAACCAGTGTAACTCCACATCATGTACAACCATAAAAATGAGAAATTATAATCCATGTATGTATGATATGCCAAAATACATTCTACTGTCATGTATAACTAAAAAGAACAAATCATATATATATATATATATATATATATATATATATATATATATATATATATATATGTATAAATAAAATGGGTCATAGACTTAAATATAAAATCTAAAACTATTAAATTTTTAGCAAAATGTAAAAAAAATTCAAGGTCTAAGATTAGGCAAAGAACTTTTAGACTTGATACCAAAAGAATAAATCACAAAAGGTAAAATAAATTGGTCTATATTAAATTTAATTTTCTTCTTTTTTTTGAAGAGAGAGAGAGAGAGGATTTTTTAATATTTATTTTTTAGTTTTTGATGGACACAACATCTTTTATTTTATTTTTATGGGGTGCTGAGGATCAAACCCAGCGCCCCGTGCATGCCAGGCGAACACGCTACCGCTTGAGCCACATCCCCAGCCCAAAATTTAATTTTCTTCTAAAAGATTCTGTCAAGAAAATGAAAATGAAGCTACAGACTGGGAGAAAAACTATTTGTAAATCACATATCTGATGAAGGACAAGTGTCTAGACTATGTCAAAAGCTTCACAGTAATAAAACAATCCAATTAGAAAATAGGAAAAAGAGATAATAGATATTTCAATAAAAAATATATGAGAAACAAGCACATTAAAAAGTTGTTCTTCAATGTAAGCCATTAGGGCAATATATATTAAAATAATAATAAGATATTACTACATACCTACTAGAAGGTCTCAAATAAAAATAACAATAGCAAATTCTGGTAAAGATAAAGATAAATGATCACTCACACATTGCTGATTGGAATGTATAATGGTATAGCCAACTTTCAAAACACTAAACATGTAAGTCCCCTGCAATTACTAACAGCACATCTGGGCAGTTTTCCCAGAGAAATTGTAACTTATGCTCACATAAAACTGTATGCTCACATGAATATTTAGAGAACCTTTACTGGTAATAGCTAAAGAACTAGAAGAAACTAAATATCCTCCAAAGAGTGAATAATTAGATAAACAAATATATCCATACTGCTACAAATTGTGTTGTAATCCTCAAAAAGATATGTTCATGTCTTAAACCCTGAAACCTCAAGACTGTGATCTTATTTGGAAATAGGAATGTTGCAGAT